ATAAATAATAATTACTAAAGAAATAAAAATTAGACAGCGTTACCTTGTGATTTATGTGTAGAAAGAGTGTACCAAATTTTAAAACGATCGGTGCAGTAGATTTTGAGTTACAGTGTGCACCGGCTTGGAAAATGCTAAGTGTGACAAAAATGCTCTTTTTGTACAGTAGAAATGACCGAGTGTTTTGTCTATACTGACACAGAGTCATCGATGTATCTTGTATATTATTTTCTTTGCACATTGCTTTCTTTTTCTTCGTTTACAGCAGAAGAAAAGAAGTTATTCGCACACGAAACAGCTGCTAAGTAAACCGCTTCGCCCAGCTACTGGGCAGGTATACGAAATCGAGTCGGAGCAACGGACACTTCCATAAAATTCCATATCTCCGATAATTTTGCTCCGATCGGCTTCAAATTTTCACATAATAATCTTGATACATTGTACATTCAGATAAAAAAATTAAAAAAAGATAGTCAAAAGAAGTTAAAATACCTTACCCCCTCCTTAAGTATAATATAAAATTTAAAATTTAATACACACTGACGTTTCGACTCCGATCGGGTCATCTTCAATGTAACAAATATGTATTATAAAATTTCGGTGTCTCAAATAAATAAATGTAATGTCAGGAAATTAGCATCTTGAAATTGTAGTCCATCATGTAAAAGTTAATCCAATAACAGTAAAATAAAAATCTAATAAAATTTATATAATTTTTGTTACAAAAATCTTAAATAAAACGTTAAACAAGTGATAAAAGATGGTTACATTGTTAAAAATTGTGTAATAACTAATGTCAATAATGCAAAATTCCATAGTGTAAAAAATGTAATGTCGTCAATGATAAAATTATATAATTGTGTACATTCCTTGCAAACTTATATCACCTTACATTAATATGCATAAATTGCTTCAGCAACATTAAACTATTCATTGATTCGTTTATTATGTATCTTCAATTTTTCTAATGGTTTCATCTATCTGCAACTTGCCCTTAAAAGCTTCTTCTATCTGTGTTTTCGTCTTTCCTAGTGTCTCCGGTAACGTAAACATTAGAAAAAAAGTAGCAATGACAGACATTATGCAGTAAAAATAAATGGTAGCATCTCTATCATGTGTTATCATTATTGGATACAATTGTACGACGATATAGCTGCCCACAAGAGAAATGAAAGTAGTAAGCTGTCCGAGAACGTTTACATACTTGGTAGGATACAGTTTCGGAATCATGGACCAAGGAATCGAAAAAAATCCAAATGATCCAAAACCCTGCGATTTAGAGATTAATTCTTTTATAACCAATTATAATATTTACAATTTATTTTTTAGAAAATCTTTAGAAAAGAAAAAATAACATCACAATCTAATCTACGTTAGACTTGTACCAAAGTCATTATAATAACTATAACTTTCTTAATAAAAATCATAACTATTAAACCCCGATATTTATGAAAACATCATTTTCGTACCACATAGAGAAGTATGCAAACAATGGGAATAGTTGCAACACCAATGTCCTCAAAGAATTGTAGGTAAACTGCTAAAGTGCCCAAAGTGATCGATAGATCGAAAGAGCGACAATAAACGGAAAGGTAAAAGAGAATGACTTTTTGTCATAGAGACGCCCGAAATGGCGTTATAATAAAAATATTATTTATTATAATAGCGAGATTCAAAATCAGTTTGATTGTTAAAGATATTATTCTGGTTAGAAAATTTTATGAAAATTCAGATACAAAATCAATATCAATCTGAAATATAATGTTTTATAAACATATCTCATTATTTTTCCCAAAATTATATCTTTTTTTTAGCTAATACTACTTATTATTCAATTACATATAAAATATTTTAAGTATTCACAAATGTAAGGATTTGAAGTTAGCTTTTATTAAATCCTTTTAAATTAAATAAATACATATATTTTGAGTGAAATAATATATCATTATCATTGAGCTTCTTTCACATTTAAGTCATTTAGCTACTTAATCTTGGCGCACCATTTTCCTGATGCTTTCGCAAGTTTCAACGATGTTACACGAGTATGATGAAATTAATGCGACGAAATGTGTCCGTTAAATCTGGCACGATGGAGCATTACCGAACAGGTGACCCGTTTTACGATCAGATAATTGTTGATATTCGTGATACACTCCAGGTTATCGAGAGGATTGACAAGTGCGCCAACTTGTTCGCACTAATGTCTCAATTCCAACAGAAATAATCTGCTTCGTGTGTCTCAAATAATTTTAGGTTCATATACACAAATTACGCGCGCAACAACAGCGGTCGGCGTAAAAAGGAAATTAATTTTATTCGCAAGATCGCAGTGAGATTAGACAAAGGAAGGTACCTAAGAGAGCCGCGCGAGCTCCGGTTTGTATTCCGGTTTAAGGGTCGACAGGAGTGACCCACTCCACTCCAGTGGAGACTAGAAATATTTTTGTTATGCCTTTCTTACAAAAAAAAAAAAAGCTCTGTACGAGCCTTCAAGACCCTTTCCTAATTACGAATATCACAATTAAAACGCGATTCATCCAGTATTTTAGTCGTTATTTGGGAATAAAAAATTCTTCTTCGACTAGAGGTCTCTGGGTCACTCCTGTCGACCCTTAACAGTCCGATATTCACTCGCCCGTCATGAATCGCGTCGTTTTTAGCGAGCGCTTTGGGATCTTGCAACACAGCTGGCGTATACTCGTCATAATTATATTTAATAACGATCGTTATTGTTATAAGATTTATGCAGAATAAGAGCCTAAAATTACAAAGACATTTCAAAAAACTTGTTTTATTTCAAATCGATAAAAGATTCTAGCATTACGGATAAACAGGAATCAGATAATCAGGTAATCAGTATCATTACAGAAAATCAGATTCTTAATTGTAGATGATTCGTTCTTTCGTCTGTCGTAAAGTTAAATTCTAAACCGCTTCTCGGATACTTTTACTCGTCTTTATGCCTCGAAGATATAATGATCTGTTTATCTAACAATAAGAAGCTCTTTGCCCTTCGCTACACATTCACGATAAATCTTTCTTTTGGATCTCATACAAACAATACTAACAACTGGCAAAGACTTACATATAAATAAAACACAAATAAACGAAAAGATCAATTCGGTTAAATCAAAGTTTGAAACTAAATAATATTTTTGAATAATAAATCTTTATTAGATTTTCCAGTTAGAAAATTTTATAAAATTATATAACGTCCTTTACGTGCTTATTTTTAGTTTATAAAATAGATTTATATTGATGAAAGAAAAGAAATATACACGATTTTTCACTTCTTTCATCATAATCTAATAATATATTCATATTGCAATCAATATATTAAGACTCATTTAATTGCGATACACTGGAATATTTTGAATGTTTGATAAATTATTATGTTATATTGGAATTAATAAAATTAAAGATTTTAATGAATCTATAGCTCGTAGCCCTGTTCTGTTATTAGTTAGTAATAATAATTAATAATATTATATTTTATCACACAGTCATACTTTTATAAGACTGTTCTTAATTGTATACATATATTGTTTATCGATAATGCAAGTACCTTTTATCGATTTATTTGAAATAAAAACAAGTCTTTCGAAAGGTCTTTGTAATTTTAGGCTCTTATTCTGCATAAATCTTATAACAATAATAACGACATGTCGAATTATATTGTGGTTACGTATTTCTTATTAGATATGTACAAAAACCTACACAATTTAGTGATATCATTACTATCATAAAAGAGATTCTCTACCTTAGAAAAGTAAAAGGAAGTAACTTTTCTTATCTTAACGTAAGAGGACTTTCTTATCTTGATTTAGATATTGACAATTCTGATAAACATGACGTTGCCACGTTAATTTTCACTAATGTGACGTCATGTTTGAAGACAATTGAATAATTTATAAACATTTCATACCTTTTTATACACAAAAATAATACAATCGAATTTCATCTCTTTTAATTTCAAATTTACAAACGTTCTTTATAAACTCCATTCTTTTATATCCATACAACTTTTTAAACTTCTTACATATTTTGTTTACAATTAAATGACTTAAACCCTCCTTCTTATAAAAACTACAATTTAAACTATTTTATGATATCATTTAAAAAACTATTTCAAAATTCAGGAATGCCCATATATTAATTACAAGCTTTAATTCTTAACTTTGTACAAATCCTTATATAATGTGAATAGACAGAAGAACCTTTTCAAGAACTGCAGGGGTGCGTTCAGGAATTATGCTTAGATAACTCTTAGGTGCATTTTTTCTATAATATACGTAACGTAAACTGTAGCCTAGATTTACCTAAGTGTGATTCCTGAACGCAGTCCAGAATAGAAGATTTAGGCTTCTTTCTTTTCTCAATTTCATTTCCTTTAGCATTGCAAATCAAATGAAAATACAATGCCCGTGAGTCTTCGAATTTCGAATTGACGAAAGTTAAATAACGCGCGCGAGAATCGACGATAATCGATTATCCCGTCATGCTTCGCGCGGCACTTCACGGCGATAACTGCGCACTCTTCTTCCCGAGAATGTCGAACGCGTCTAAAATCACCTTCGTTTTATGTTGCATGACGTCCGTTGGAATAGTAGGCCACGTGCATTACAAACAGAATTACGACAGGTAGATATCGCGCTGAAAGACGTTTTGCCGTTTTCACGTCTAACATTAGATCGTAAAACGTTTCAGGCAGCAGCTGCACTTGGGTGTGATACGCGACGTCGAACGACGAGAGCGCCGAAAGGCAGAAAATGTCTACGTTCTGCAACAGCAAGCCGAGTTAGCCAAGGAACTGCGCAAGCAGGAGATACTACGAGAGAACGATACGTGACGATTGATACGCGTGTTGTTAGTCTGTTACTCGAGCATTTTCTTAAGGAATAAAATAGCCGTGTGTAAAGTATATTTCGTTCGGTCATTTTACTCCATTTTGTATGCGCGTCGAGTACTTATTCGAGGCACATCGTCGAAGCGTCCTTTCTCCGGAAAACACTTGAGTAAATTTACAGCTTTCACGCGAGCATTATGGCAACTGACGAAGCAGCGGATCAACCGGGTAAGTTTGGTGCCTTGTTCCATTGAACGAAGCGTAAAAGTACTTGCCATTTTGGAGTGCTTTTGTCTCTGATATGTATATGCATTGGGGTTATAATTATACAACACAAATATATTGAAGTATTATATATTAACAATGCTTCTGTAAATGAGTATTATAATTTATTACTTTGTAGATTTTATTTAACGCTCAAATCGCTATAATTATGATATGCTGACTTTTTAAGGAATAATAGTCGTAGGTGTATATAAATCATCAACTTACTATATATTCATAATTTATTCTTATTTTAAGACTGTCTTAAGTAATATCCTAAGATGCTAATACACGACCTTCTAATTGATTATGATTGCACTTAAGACAATCTGAAATATAAGAATCAACTATGGATACATTGGCTATTATTACAAAAGTTTACTATATATTTAGAATGTTATACTTACATTTTATTTCTTGTTTTATCTATTTGTTGATGTGTTACTTTATGTAACAAAATAGAATAAGATATTTAAATTTAAATTGGTTATATGCAACTTAAATTTGTATATCTAAAATATTGTATAAATTAACCTTTATGCTTTTATAATTTACTAACTTTATTAATTAAATTTGAAACTAGACAGATTACATAAATATATATATATAAAATTATATAATGTTTTGTAATAAAAGTTCAAATGCAAAGAAAATAAAAACAGTTGACTCTTGTTTTATAGATTTGTCTTGCATAGAGGAGAGTCTCATGAGTCTAGAAAAATTGGACAGAGCATCTCCTGATCTATGGCCTGAGCAGAGTGAGTACATTTTTCAAGGATCATTTATAAGTCATGTATACACAATACATCATATATGTAGCGAGCAATGAAGTTCCAGGTGTACATGAGTTTGTTGCTCAAAATTCACCGCAGACAGAACCATGTTTTTGGGCTGCGATGTCGCAGGATGACATAAGCCATGTGCATCGTGAGTTGATATGCTGCATAACATATAATTCTTCATCTCGTTGCTAAATACCGTAAAATATTTTCTTGCAGAACTGGGTAATTTGTCAATGACCGGGCTTATCTCGGAAGTGAAAAGACTGCACGATATAGCTTATCAGCTGGGTCTAGAAGAGGCTAAGGAAATGACACGCGGCAAATATTTGAATATATTTAAACATAAATAACCTATTTTAGATTTGCAAACAATAAAACTCATGAAAACGATACTACAATCGGCATTTTTAAGACACGTTTTGAGACGTTTTTTATATTTTTTCAACTTTAAGAATTTTCTAAAATCCACTTTGTATATCTCTGTACATTTACAAATGCAGATGGAAAAATGGTGCTTGAGTCACAACTAGACCCATATGATAGGATCCCAACCTGATTGAATAAAAAAGGAAAACATAAATATGTGAACTACATCTGTAGTATATATGTAAATATTTATGTTGATAACATACCAGGAAATACATGTCCGCATATTTGTATAACAGAGGACTACCACTGTAGCCTGAGCAAGGTTCACAGTTTCCTTTGGCGCATAATTCAACAGTTAGAGCTTGGCTTAAATAGTCCGAGCACTGCTGCTTAGGTACGAGTTCTAGTTGTAATGACTGTTGCGTCAATGGTTGCGCTGGATCACAGGGTTACAGCACTTGAACGTTACATAAACACAGCTTACAGTTTATGCTTTACGATAGTTTGTTCTATTAATACAATACCTTTTTGACCTGTCAATTTTCCCCAGCCGACAACAGTGCATGTACTTCCTAGGCTGACGTATCTGTCTTCTGGTATAAAGCAGATTGGTTGAGCTGTGGCTGAAGAAGACCGGATGTATTGCTATTTCCTTCCGTATTGAGGCTGTGATCATCACAGTGTCTTCAACGTATATATTTAAGAACTGTACATACCTGTAAATTCGATAGCCTTCTTCAAGCGAAGTAAGGCGACGTTGTTGGAATAACTTGCGGCGTCGTAGCCCGGATGTTTTACTACATACGATATGTCGTGGCTACTGGTATTATGTCCGCAAAACAAATTATTACAATCTGGATTGGACTCTGTATTATATTCACCAATAAGCACAGAGCATCTAAAAACAAATAAGGACTATCATAATTATTGCATGCTATAATTTAATGCTAAGATCGAAAATCTGAGTAACGATCATTCGTTATATTTTATTTTCGACTGCTATATACGTACAATTTGTATCTGTCCGATTTCGCGAGTGCGCATGTAGCTGTAGTCAATACAGTACGCTCATTAACAATCACGCCATTGCACGAGTATTTGATCTCACCCGTTAATGTATCTAAAAGCGAATTCTTGCTAACAGTCTGAAAACGCATGTCTTATATAATAAAAGAATTATAGTTAACTTTTTCTCTTTCTCATCCTGCGGATAAACAAAATTGTATATAATTTTTGCTACGTACAGGATGTCACAGAAGTTCTTTGTCTTGTATTTTTGTTGATAAATTTGGAACCGACTATCAATACTTTCAATTTCATTGATGAAAAATTGATGGCTTTATGACGTTTTAACTTCAATATTATAGTTCGCGAGGCGATTATTAGTTTCTGGGACATCCTGTGTATCACACAATTTCTGTATAATACAAGCATTTCCATATACATGCAAAGTACTTGCTTATGAAACCGATTCTTGCGACAAAAGGGTACGATCCTAAAGTGTTTACGTTACTCCGAACAATACTTTTTCCACATTGAAAATTTGTAGATAGTTGTGTCGAATATGTGTCCAGATTTCTATTAGGATATAACCGTTCGACATAACTATCGACGCTGCAGCAAATCTTTATACGTGTTCGATCGTATCCGCATACAGCTTGTCGTAATCTGCGCTTAAAAAAATTGACGTGTATAAATATGTACTCGTCCCTTCGATATAAAAAGATGATAACCACGTTACCTGTGAGAAGAAAGCGCGTTTCGATCCATTAGGGATACAACCGCCGGGCAGTACTCGACAAACACACACTTTTGATTACTAGGACAAGAAAGAGAATTATTCTGGCATATGGTATCGTATTGATACCAGGGATTCTCGCACAGTTCTGAAGTTACGAGCGGCAGTAAAAGCAGTAGCAACAGGCAGCACATTTTCTGGATATAAATGCAAACGAGACGAGGATAAAAGTTTGCTAGTTTCGTATAAGTGGTGATCTCGACGTTGTCAGTTGACTTCGAGAAGCGAAATCTAATAAAACGACCCTTTTCATAAAAGGAGTATGGAAGCTCGGTCGACTTTTTAAAGAGATTATCGTTCTCTCAGATTCTTTTTCTAAAAATCGTGTCTAAATATATAAATCGTTTTCTACATAGAGGAAACGCGACGGATTTGTAGACCTCGTAGTCAGTTTCGTGTTTGCGACTAACATCGTCTATACCGGATGATGAACTGATTTCGTTGCATCGTGCACCTGTATACGACAATTTCGTTTCTCTGGGTTACCTTGACTAGAGCATTATTCGCACATCCGGCGGAACTACGATGATCACGCAAAAAAGCAAACGTATTATGTGATTAATTGCGTTACGCTTTACGTAGATTGCTTGAGAAGGTAATAGAGGGTTGATATAATTATTTTCTTGTAAACTAAATTTAAATTATCTAATTAAAACGAAGTACTTAGATATTGTTTTTTTTCTTCGAACTACGTTGAATCTGTACACACATCGTAGTAATATTATTTAATAGATTTAAATTAAAAAGAAATATGTCTATATTTCTACTTTTAAAATAATAGAAAAACGAAGAACGGGCATTTTGAAAGATACTTACATCTTTTTATCATAGAGATATTGTTTAATTATATTGCCCACTTTTTGTGTATAAAATTTATTAATATTCGTACAACACGTAACTGTAGATAAAATTATAGAAGCAAAACAATAAATTATTAAGTACTATTTGTATAAAAACTGTTCCGATTAATGTACACTATAGATTAATGTGCATTAAATAAATTTTAGTTTGTACGTTTTCAATTCTTGCGCGAATAGGGAATAGAGAAAGTTTTAACAATGCGAATTTCGTCTTTCGTTCCATTCGATCGCAGTTTCGATGATACCGGACGATCGGACAAAGTCGACAGCAACGATATTCGCGGTGCTTTGCCATTTGCTGTTGTACCAATTTGTAACGTTGATATTAACTTTTTCCGCCATTTCGCGGATACTTCCAAGTCGGTTTAAAATGACATCCCACGTGTTGGGCGTTAATTCTGCCATCGCCGATCTTGGTATTGATCTAGGTTGTCTGAAACGAGAATCAGTTCGGCGAAAATAGAATTTGCGCAAGGCTGGGCACGTATTTGAAATACTTTTATTTAAAAAACAATATTTATGTAAAACAATTGTATTTTATATTTGTAATGCAAATACTGTATTTCAAGTAAAAGTACTTCAAATACATGCCCAGTCCTGAATTTACGTTATATTTCTTCATGCTATATAGAGATAGACAACAAAATTAAAGATCTTTTCCTTAATAAGCTATTAATTGAGAATTAGCAAATTAAACTCCCAGCTAATATAATTGAGATTATTAAAAATTTAATAGGTTTATTATTAATGATCTCTAATAGATTTCAACTAAGCAGCTCGCGTACAGATACCCGATCTGTCATATACAGTACTTGATTTGAAATAATATCTTTTGAATAGCAAAAATACTTATAAAATCGAAACTAGATTTAATAAAATAAGAAAAATTCTCGAATCTAAAAAAGAGAAATATTCGGATACTTAAATATTTCTGTATGACTTTATGTACATATCTAATTTTACAAACTTGGCACCGAGGTTTTGAAATGCAGTTATGACTATGACTGAGTTAATATAATTTTTTAAATTGATAAACAATTTAATAATATTTTACGCTAATAAACGTCTCTATAAGAATATTAATATGTTAATATGCTAAAAAGAATTTTAAATATGCGAATAATTTATTGCGAAAAATATTACCCCAACCGAGATTATCACAAAACTAGAATGAAAAGAATGGTCTTGAATAGTTTAGAACTATCTAGTGGCTTTATATAAGATTTATAATATATACCCAAGACTTTCCGTTTCGATGCGATTCAGATGGTTGAACAAGTCTTCGATAGTCCTGACATTTCCCCATTGATGTGTCACACAAGGCCATATGCTATCGTAGCGACTGACGACTCGTCTTTCATCATAACCGATAATAAGTCTTTTCCCGGATGACCAGATTGTATTCAGAGTACTAGTCCATCCGTAACTCTTCGGCAAGTAGTACCCAGCGAATTGTTTCTCGAGGAATGCAACGAAGTCGTGATGTACCCCCAGATTTTTTCCAAAGCCTAACATCAGCATATATTTTCACATAAATAATAAAATTACTATTTATATAGATATAATTTATATAAGTCCTAGCTATACGAATTGCATAATCTTGCTATTATTATTGTCATTAATTAAGTAGTGACAAATTACGTCATGATGTAATGTTAGCCTTGTGTTTTCTCCCTACGTTTCACTTATAATATCCGTGTGCTCATATAATCGATACGATTATAGAGCAAAGAAGATTGTACGAGTAGATAGGATTGTCGGATAATAATAAGTAAGGCATTTTTAGAATCTGAGCGAATCCAATATGGATTTTCGAATGTCTGACGAATGGCTCTTACAGTTTAATTTACTAATTCTCAAAAAGTCTATTGATTTTATTTTTTTTGTTATATAAAATTTAAATTTTATTCTAAGTTAATAATCTTTTGAATCAATGGCTTTTTTTTTAAACGTAAGAGTATCGTTGATGAATTCAACACGGTATTCAGAACATAACATTATTTGTTATTGTTAACGTGTACTTTAAAATCACAAAAAAGAATGTTGCATTCTGTACTGTTTTGCCTGGATAAAAATTGTTGGCCATTTGTTTTTACGCTAAAATATATTACCAACTGGAAATTCCTGGATGTCGAATATTACGATCTCGTTCGTGTTGTCGAGGAAGGTCTTCACCTGATTTATGATGGTCTGCATAGGAACAGTTCTGAATACTCCATGATTCACCCACCACACCGAATTGGTGTCGGGGTAGTGTCCGACTCTGATGTCAAGGTATCTAACTCCGTAGATCAATTGCGCGAGCACGTCCACATCCTGCAGTTTAATTATCCTAACGATTACCAGCAACGGTTATTCCATATTTAATTCTTATCTGATTTTAATGCATAAGCTCTCTTTAATGTCGCTCAAATATTTTCGCCAATTAAGCTTAATTGCTATGCTCTTTACTTGTTTCTGTTTCTTTGTCTTTTACTTTTTGCTCTTATCCTGTTTCTTTGTCTTTTGTTGCTTGAGATAAAAACTTCGGAAGAGACGAGCAGTATTTAATGTCGATAAAACGGTCACAAAGAGGGAAAAAGCAAGAAACAGAAAGCAAAGAGCATATTGTAGATTAAGCTTTATTCGACCGTAACAAGCGTCTCGTTGTGAGAGATTTGAATCGAAAAGAAGTCTCGAATCAATTTTGCAATCTGTTTGAATTCAATCTATTTAAATTGAAAGGAAGTCTCGAATCAATTTTAAATCAATCGAAAAAATGATGTGGAAATAGAGATCTTGTAGTCACGCGACTTCCGATTCGGAATCCGATATTGATGCAACGAGATAAACTTGTAGATTATCTGGTTTATCCACGCAAATATTCAATTGTTAATAGTTTGCATTATTAATTTAGAATTTACCTGCGTTATCACATATCTTTCGACGATATTCTCGGAGTTCGCTCGTTCGTATATCGCGTAAGACGCAGAATCGTGAGTGCCGGGCAAGAACACCCTGCTCATAGGCAGCGATCCTAAGATAGCCTTCCTCTCTGACATCCAGTGAGGCTGTGTTTGCAGACAATCTGTCAGTCTTACCGTGTTATTTCTCAGCCAAGCAACATGGTACTCTATTAAAGCGAAATACACCGTGTTGAGCTCGGATATACGTAAACCACTAAAGATATATCACAAGGGAAAACTAACAGATCAAATATAATAGCTTTTGGACTGTTTTTCGAAATTATAAAAACAAATTTAGTGAATTTTCTTGCGATGAATTCAGATGGACAAAACAATATTTTTTGTGCATTATATTAAATAGAAATATATATAAAAGAATTTTTATGATTTTATTTGAAAATTACGCTTCGGATTCACATGTATATAATAGATTGTCTGAAAATAATTACTAAGTTTTTTATACTTAAATTTATTATGCTTAAATTCATTTTGCATATACAGGATTGAAAAAAACTAAAATAATATATATATATTCGTTACTGTTATTCAAAAAGTAATAAAAACAAAAATTATTTTTATATTAATGTTATGAAGAGATCAATTAATTATTAAAGAAATTTTGTTAAAATATTGATCAAATTAATACAATTTTGAAATCTTCATCAACATATATAATTATATATAAAATATATTTATACATGTTCATACATCCTTCTTTCTTTTATTAAATTACTTTTTAGTGTAATGAAAAAAAATAATAATGAGAAAATAAAATAAAAAATAATTAAAGAAATAATTTTCGCATCGTTTTAGAAACAAATCAAGTTTAGAGAAATGTAAAAAAAAGTACTTGATTAATAGTCTATATCGACATTATGTAATTGCGATGTGTATATATGTCACGTACGTACGTAGGCATTGCTGAACGAACGTGAGATTCGAGGTGGGAACAAACGTGGCCTGCAGTCCAGTCCTCTTTATACCACTCGGTGCGTTTGGTATCAGGGTATAAATTGGCTCGAGGCCGTTCGTGGGCTCGCCCGTGTAAAGAGCGATCGTATCGCCCGGTCGATACCTGGCATGATTCCAATAAATCTCGATCTCCCGTATCATTCGAATGGACATTATGGGCGAGATAATCAGACCGACATGCGCGCGTTGGAAATCTGAAATGGGGAACAGGTGTTTCGGTGCAAGGACATTCTGTAACGAACGTGCTTGTTGCAATAATTTTAATGGCAATAATCTTGTTGAAAACCGGAGCAATTTTTGCTCCGCGAAACGAAAATATGCATAATTGCATAATTCATACGTAATAAAAACATTTCATAATAAAAACTTTATACCACAATATAAGCTAACTTCAATTTCGATTTAAAAAACTTACTTTTTATAATTCTAAATATTAAAAAAAGATAAAGAATAAATCAAACTGTGAGTGATTTAAAGTTAATCTACATGATATAATATAAAAATGGACATTAATCATAAAATACGTTAATCTTGATATTTATATTCAATAAAAAGTGGCACGAACGATCCGATCGATTGCATTTGTTATTGAAGTTTGGTATTGTTTATCATGCTGTTGATAGACTGTGATTTTAAAACTTACCGTCTCCCGTGTCCGGACTACAGAATCTCGCAGTCGACACGCAATCGACAATCGTTAGCCAAGAGAAAAGGGCGGGAACGATCGTAAGTAGCTTCATCTTCGTGCACGAGTTAACGCGGGAGGATCGTAGTAAATAATATCTATCTGTCTCTTCTCGGAGCCGTTGACATTCTTCTCCTCAATCCCCTTAATCGTTTCAATTCTTTCCACGAAGTCAACTGGCTACAAACTGCAAAAGATGTCAGCCTTTTCCTTTCGACCTGATCTCTTGTGCAACTACTCACGAAAGAATTTAAGAAATTATCATCGTTGAGAAACTCACGACGTATTTACAAATATAAACAGTTGTTTTAAGCAAGGAATCACGTATGCATTTCACGTATCATGGATGATATCAAATTATTTACATAATATTGAATTATTTGCATAATAAAATTACATAAAATAAGGATAATGAACAGTTGATATTTATTCATGTAAATTAAAAATGCAATGTTTATCTTTTTTCGTAGAAAACTCATAACCTGATTATATGATTGAGAAAAACTTTCATTTAGAAATTCGTTTATTCAATTTTATTGTTATATATAAATTTTTCCCATGTGATTTTTGGAAGGAAAACATTTATTTAGAATTAAAAAATTATGAAAGCTGCTTCAAATCATAAAATTACACGACTTATCCTGCGACAATTATGGTATCTAAGTTAAAGAAAGTTTGATGATCAAATAATTACTGACACTCGCTCGCGATGCAACAACAATCGGAAAATAGTTGATCGCGTGAGTTGCACCTCCTCGAGTCTTCTCGCGATTGGACGCGCTGGTACCTCTCTCCGTTGATAGATCGTAACTGATCGTCGTACCAAGTGCGACCAAGTCAAGTCATGCAAGTTCAAGAACGTGAATGTGGCGAACGTAATGACGACAGAATCGTAAGGCCGGCCATACTTAAGTAAACTCGTCACAGTTGTAACCATGCAGCTATCCTGCCATACGTTCGAGTGTAAACTTGCACAAGTAGCTTACGCAAGCATATTCGACAAGTTTACTTAAACGTGTGCGGTCGATCTCTAACACATAGTTACTAAGGAAAACCATCGGCATTCATTACGACCACTGACTGTTTATCTCTTTATCCTGCCATCTAATCGTGACTCATTCCGTTTTTTTTTTTCCGCTTTTACATCGAACACATTTTACATATATCGCTTTTCAAGCAAAATTTCCAACTTTGCCTCGCGTTTCTGTTTAACATATCGCGCATTTCTCTTTTAGTACAGTAATTGTAGTAATTAACAAAATAGATACTTAATGAAATTCTCTTAAGAGAGATTTTTGTGTAAGGATTTTTAAATAATTATCTTCGCGCGAGTTGAAGAAATTAAAATGATAAAATAAAGAAATTTAGGACGTCCCCCTTGGTCATCTTTTAATCTGAGAATCTGCCTACGCAACATGATTGATCCCGATTAAGATCGCTGAATCTCGAGGGGGAGAAGTGGAAGGAGCCCCCCTTCCCTCAGGAAATTAACGCGATGGTATTTCCACGTGCTGCCAACGCCAAGTCGACTTTGAATGACAAGGGGGGGAAGACAGAAGAGTGGCGGGAGGGAAAGGAGAAGGGGGATATCTTACTACACACCACACACAGACACATACACACACACACACACACACACACACACACACACACACACACACACACACACACACACACACATGAATTTACCGCGAAGAAATCGACTGACTTCGCGGTCGAATTCTCGATCATTCGTTCTTCCCTTAGCATCGGAGTAATGCGTAGTCTTTTTCGTAATAATCGACGACGAGCGCGCAAAAAAAAGAAAAAGAAATCGCTGACTCACAACGTTACCGCGCCGATGCGTGAAACTATGCGGCACGATTCGGTATCACGCGAACTTCATCGACGGCGACGTCGGCGGCGGCGGCGGCGGAGATGATGACGATGAGGCGGTGGCGGTGGCAGCTCTCCACAAGCGCGGCTGTTGCATACGTGGTACAGCAAAACCATTTCTTTCTCAGAAGCAGAGACAGCGGGATGTTACAAGCGGAGTGAACATTGTAGCGGTGATATATAATTAAAGGCCGCTAACAGAGAGTAAAAGAAAGAAAGAAGGAAAGGGAGAGAGGAACAGAGGGATTTAACCCATCGAGGGGTAGCCGCTGGTATCAAAGGCACTCTCTTGAAAAGAAGAAATGTTAGGAAGGCACGCGAAAAGAAAAAAAATAAAAAGAGCGAGAAGAGAGAAAGAAAAGGAAGAAAGAGAGACTAGAATGGAAAGAAGGAAGAAAGAGAGAAAAGGAAAGACTCGGAAAGAGAAGGAGGATACTAGTTACCGTCTACTTATACGTATTTATTTGCGACATAGAGCCGTAATCTTTATTCTTCCTTTTATAGCGAATGTATATTATACTCATGATTATCAAAGTACTTTTGAAAATACTGCTAAGTTATATATACTATTTCAAGAAAAAAAAAGTTTTTACGATTATTTAATTTTGTATCTTCTTTTTAATTCACCTTCCTTTTTTTCTTTTCGAATTTTGACGATACTAAGACATTTTCCTAATTTTTAAATAGTAAAATAATTTGGAATAATTTTTTGGAGAGAGAATGTTTTCTAATCATATCTTTTACAGTGAGGTTTTACTTATACGAATAAGCTAGTTATGTCGGGTTTAAATGTTGCAATTTTTTATATAACCGAAAACATTTTTTAAAACCACTTTAAAAGTAAAGACTTTAATGAGTCTCGAGAACCTACATACATGTTCCTTTAACGTCACAAAAAATATGTTCGTGTTATGATAAATTAATAGGCAATACGTTTTCCCTCAGGACGTAAGTAATAACAAATGTCCACTGCATTCAAAGCATTATCAGTTTATAGTACAGTAATAGCCCGCGATACATAATTATAATACATATGCACAAGACCATAAGTGTTTTTTCATCGACTGAGTCGCCGGTATGCGAAAGTCATTAAGCAAAAAGTGTTAAACAGACCTTGAAACGTATTCCGATCGTAAATTTAACGCTAATGAGAATATAAGAGTCTACGTCTTCTGTACTCGTAAATTATCTTCAAATATTAACTATAATTCATAAGCTAAACAGTGTCCTTTTAAGAACAAATTCTTTGGTCTTCTTAGGGAAGAGATCATCATTCACTGTATCATTGTCTATTCTTTTTTTGTATAATATATCTTTGAAATATTACGTATCAAATTGAAATTTTTTAACTACTTCTCGAAATTCAATTAATGAAAAAATCTCATTTTTTTCATTTATAACTACAAAATCGTTCGCTAAAAAGATAATTTTAAAGTCAGAGAAGCCATTATTAAATCCTGGTTCGCATATTCTATGTAGGAAGTGGTGACACATTTTAAAAGATGATTGCATAAATATTATATTCTACAATTGATTGAAGGAGAAATTAGAAACGCTTCCTGAAGTACTTAATCAAGATTAATGCGGAAGAAGACGAAAGTGAAAGCGAAGAACAAATAATACACTTGTACATCCGCAAATTCTCAATATCACTGCAAGTTCAATCTTTTAAACAATAATGTGCATTTATTCATTTTATCTTTTGATTCTCGAAAATGTCGAAAAATCATTAAATTAACATTTTGAAATGTTCGTAGAATGCAAATAATTGATAATAATTAAATACGCACAGATTAGAATTTTTTTACTATTTATATTCAATATTAAAGAGGAGTGCATTTTTATGTATGAAATATAGGTTCTCGAAGCAGGTGTGTTAACCCAGTCATTTCGTACTCCTTCACTCACATCTTCAATCAATCTTTTATAAAACCCGACGCATACATGGGACGCATACATGAGAGGGTCAGGATCAAATCCGGGACCTGTCGACTACTACTCGACCGCTTTCACACGAAGGCACGCGTCACCTTCACAATGCAAAGTAGTACTATATTTAACGTTAACGTGGCGTGGCAATGAAGTTCGGTGAATATTATGAAAAAATAAATATTTCTTAATTAATATACAAATAATTTTTATTGTACTTTAAAGCAATCCCCCTTCCGAGACTTCTGACAATGTTAATACAGTTTGCGAAAACTATGAAATTATCTTTGGATATCTCACCTTAAATTTTGTTGTCACAGTTCTACAAACAGAAAAATATTCTATATTGTTATGAAAAATGATTGTCTTTAATAAGGAATTTTTTTTTATAATAATCTTAAAATATGCTTATTGCAAATTTTAGAAAAACTTATTATTATATTATTATATATTCGAAACAAGTATTTATTTTCTTTCCAACAATATAAAATTGATCGAACAAGCGATTTTATAATAAGCAAATCAAATTTGTTTCATAATTAATAATCTTGATTGAAGTATTAAACTTGTTATAATGTAATTCAGAATATACTTTGAATAAATTTAACGCTTGTGAAATTTATAGTAGATTTGTGGATAAAACGTTTGAAATATCTGAAACAAGTAAGTTAATTATTACTAGCGTACAATTTTTTTGTATGTCCAAAGTATTTATAAATCGAGTGTCTTTCAATTATATCCTGCAGTTTAGGCTGTTTAAGAAACAAAAAGAAGTCTGCAGGGCAAGATCGGGGAGGAGATCCGAGACAAAGGCTCTCGAAGAGTGATTCAAAACAATAATGCAACGCTGACTCAAGAATTACCGTACACTTTGACTCAGACCTGTGTGACAAGACTCAAGGCGATATCTAAAGATTTTTCAGAACTTCCACAAGTTGTACAAATGTTGTCAGAGAAATGTATCGTCTATAAGGAGAATTACTTTTAAGGACAATAAAGGCCATTCAATTAAGCGGTGGTAAAAATGTGCTCGAATGTCATACCGCAGAGAAATAATGCAAAATGCTACACGAAAAAGGTTTTTGCAGCTAATCATAACTAGCGAAAAGATGAATCCGTTACGTACCTGCTAATCAGTTCCGTTAAAGATCATGATAAAAAGTTGACACTGGTAAAACACAGATAACCTTCGTTACGGAAAATTTTCGCACGCGCGTTTGTTAGCTATTATAGAAAATAATCCCGACTCTTTCATGAACGACTGTTAGTCTCCGGTGTGAACACGCACGTCGAAAATGAAAGCGGAAACGGGGGCGTATACGGTGTACAATACGTATAGCGTTTGCTCCGCTTGTATTGCGCTTACGTAAAAGAATTACTGCGCAGAGAGAGAGCGTTATTCATTTCCGCTACCGCGATCATTGTCGGATGATTGTCGTACAGTAAAAATGTATTGTCGGATATCGCGAAACATAGTGGCTGTGCCACTGGCAAACAATAGGAAAACATTCAATATAAATTCTATGCAAGTTTATAGAACATAATAGAAAGGAGAATGAACGTTAAGAATACATTACGTAATTTCTTTGCCACAAACGCGAATATCATATGGTACAATTAATTATATCACAAGGTCGACCAATTTTATTGACTTGTGAAGAGCGTTCCGATTCGAATCGATAAAATTGATCATTTTAATTTATAAATATGCAGCAGTCGCAAATTGATATGTAAGTGGAACATATGATGACCCTGAGAATAATTTAAAAAATAATGTATTCCGAAAAAAAATTCTCAACGTACATTTATATTTAACAAGTTTTGAAGCGATAAATTCTCTCTCTCTCTCTATCAATATTTTATTTACATTTTCCAAATATAAATAAGTTTACAACTTGAAATATTCTTTAAAAAAATAATTACAAGAAACTTTAATAAATTCTATGTTCTTTTAACGTAACAAAAATGTGTTCTTGTTAAGGATTAAAAATAATTGCCTTTTGCGAAGAGTTTCACGAAAAAAACGAAACGCAATATGTGTATCATATCGTCGATAACGTTTGATATTGTCCTCTTTCACATTATTAGTTTTAGGAGGGATGTGAAAGGAATGAGAAGACCTAAAGGAAAGAAACACAATTGTGACATTCTTCGGGTTTTTCTCATCTCCTTTATTTTACAAAACTGAAAAAAAGAAAACTTCTGCGAGAGTAACAAACTTTTGGCTTATGTGACTAGTTGTAATACTTAGCGGCAATACTAAATTAGTGCAGTGTAAGTATATACATTTGTGTTTACAGTGTCTGACTGCGGGAAACCACGCAGGCTCAGTTTACAGAGCGATTACAGCTTCGACGATAATTTTTATTCTAGTACAAGACTCCGTTGCGAAGTTGTTCCTAC